TTTTTCCCTTCTTTCCTGCAGTATTATTTATTTACAAATTCAACCATGTAAAACTACTACATCTAAGAACACATTTTGCTTGAAAACAAAGCTAGCTCTGCGTTTCTTTATTATGTTAAAGACAGAGTAATATCATATTCTACCATTCTTGTAACCTGTAAATTTTCATTTCAATCAATTCTACATTATGTAGTACAATATTGCATTTCATGTTTCAAACATCCTCCTACTATTAAAATGGCCGCGGTCATTTTTCCCCCTCAAACCACCTCAAAATCTTAAAATATGAAATAGAATAAATGTCGAGTACACATATTCCTAAAATGTTGATATATAATTTCTCAACCCTTTAATACATATCATACACTTCTTGCTAATCAAGTTTCCACATCAGATATTAAGTAAAAACATCCAAATATATATTGTAAGATAAATGTTGATTTTTTTTTTTAACAAGACTCAAATTTAGAGCCCATCTGTAATTTTTGCTGATGCATCTCTAAAAATGCCTACAAGTCCCATACCTTGGGATAAAATATGTATATTATACAATCAAATCCTCTTGGTTATCATATCAGGGATAAAAAGAGATATACTAATATTTTTTTTCTTTCAATGTGCAGTTTGTGTATTTCCTACCACATTCATACTTGATGCATTTTATTATTAAAAAATTCAAATTTGGTAGAGTTTTTTCCTCAGAGAATGTTTTCTTCTCTTCATAGATAATGCATTTCATGAACATTCTGTACATCAAATAATATGTCGCAATGTTTCTTTTGCTTTTGGAGAAATATCTAAATAAAATGTCCCTGCCAATTATCAAACAGAAATGTCCAACTAGCAAATTATTGTTTGTTCTGACTTAGATTGTTTTTATCTATCATTGATAAGACATGGAATTTAAATATTAAAATTCTGTCATCTGTTTATTAATCAAGTACTGATATTAGTTAAAAATTCCTGGTAATAACTAAAATGTAAAACATATAGCAATAAATGCACCATTAGCATAAAACACCAAGATGTGCAGAATTTTTTCTTTCTGCTCATGAAATTGCAAGGGGCGAATCAAAAGTTTAAATCAAGCCTTGATATGTAATGGACTCGGGCACATTTTTGGATTGCTAAACAGAACGTATTTGGCCATAGCCCGCCAGGCCAACTGCCAATGAGACCAACTGCCTATGACACTGACGGCCTACAAGCCCATAATGTCAATCTCCAGGGCCTGCCGGCTGCAGCCAATTGTTCTGAGGGTTTACAAGACCAACTTCGGTCTACTGGGATACAAGGGTTTTAATTGTGATTTCTCTCAACTGTGTGACGGTTCCACCATAAATTCTATCTGTGCTTGGAAATATGAATGTTACGTTGCTGCAAATTTCCAAGACAGATAGTGACCCCTTTTTCACTTTACACAAACCATCACATTAAATATTTGGGGGCATGAACTAAAAATTCTCTCTCTCTGTATAATTTATGTAAGTGATGTTTTTTTATGAAACAGACTGATGAGGTAAACATGCGTATCAAAATCTTAATTTATGCACCACGTATTACTAAACAAAATCAATCATTCTTATTTTCCAGGTACAGTAGTAAGGAAGAGACTGAGGAAAAATTTGGAGTCAGCAATCAACGTGACAATACACAATAACTGCAAATAGAAAAGAATGTGTCTGTACAGAAGTAAACCACAATAAATTGTGCATCATTTGAACCGATTTGCGTTTTGTGCGGACAGCACATATCTTATCATATTATGACTTGAATGTCGCAATGATCTGTGCAGTTTTTGACCACATTTGAGAGGCATTAGCTTTACACCATAGAATATATACCGGTAGTCAGAATTATTCAATCCCCTAAACATGTAGAAAGAGATATTTATATGCCACCTTTATCCACATCAATAAAATGCAGCGACGGTTTTAATCTTATATCAGTAAAAGTTTATATATCATATAGTATGTATGATCCGGGGATAATAAAATCAGTGTAATATTAAAAGCAGTTTATGTTTCAATTCCCTTCATTCATTCATTCATTAATCTCTGAAAAAACCATGATAAATATTTAAAAAGATTCAAACAATCCATTCAGTGCTTGATATAAGTTTTGTAATCACTTCATATTCCTTTAAAAAGACAGTTTGTATAACTTGCAGTTTCCTACATTTGCAAACAATAACACAGAGTGAGATCATGCTGAAAAAGTAGTATACAACGCATTTATGTGAAAGCTGTATCACAATTCCATGCAAAGAATTAATTTATCAAGCTGAGACTCAGCTCTTGTCTTAATTTCATTTACTGGAATGCATCCATTGGTAAGCCATTTTGATGTTTTCCATTTTATTCTTCATTCCATGCAAAAAGAAAGAAAAGAAAAAAACATCTTCAAACTCCATTTTGTGCTCATAAGCTCAGTGTGTCCAACTGTTGATAAATGTAATGCGATCATTGCCTTCGAGTCATCAAGCATTTGTTATTTGTTGAATATAAAGAAAACCCCATGTTTTTATTCGTTCTCCAAACTCCTCTCAAACTTTGTGCCTATTTACACTCAAATATCCTTCGTAAAATACCTATTTACAAGAGACATACATACACACAAATATGAACTAGATTACGATCAACATACAATGAGCTTCATTTCAAAGAAGAAAAAAAAAGCTCAACTCCAAACAGAACAAATAACGAAATTGCCTTTAATATAATATATATTCAACTTTGAATACATGCAAGATAGAAAAAGAGAATCCGTAATAAATACAGTCGATTATGGAAATATAACAGCAGTATTGACAATGTATAAGTTACATAATAAATAATAGTTAGCATTCAAAACTCAACAGCACTCTCTTCGAGAGATATCCTATCCTTCCTTTTTGTTGTTCCAACCAGCTTCGTGTGGGTAGGATAGATTAAACCTTCTATGTTATTACTAGTAATAATATTGAGCCGATAAAGAGACTTTACTATTCATAAACATGGTCTTCTATACCTTTTACATGTACACTGTATATTCATCCGGTGTGAGTGTTCATGTGTTTACATGTATAGACGCTGTGTGCCTTGTATCCCGTAATTCATAAAAAAACAAAGGAAGTATTACACGTGATAATAAAACCCTGAATATAATAAATAATATATAACTAATCACCATGGCAGTATAGCAAATATACTGTTCAATATAAACTATTTGAAATTGCACTTCAAAAATCATTGCTATATTGGCTAATAAAACTTATATGAAATAGATAAATAAAAACTTTTTTCCCCTATATAATTTTATTCTACTACTTGAATGATTGCTGTGCAGTGGGGACAAAAAATCAAATCACTTCATGTGAATATTATTCAAATCCAATCACAAACTATGAATTTCTTCACGAGTTGAATTATGCATGTACATAAAACCAGCTACTCGTAATACATTTGGCTGTTTTCCTTTAGATGCCTTGTACAAGACGGAGACCTGGTGTGTACCTGAAGCGTGCATTAGTGAGGGTACAGAAGCTGGAAATTTGTTCGGTTTATTCCACTTTATTTTTGTGCTGTAATGAAGCAAGGTGCATGCTTGAATAATGAAATCTTTTTTTTTCTTATTTTACACGTTATACATTTCAACTATCATAAATGTGTTGGTATATATTTAATTGTTTTTGCACATACTATCAGCATCTATTTGTAATGATTTCTGTCTATCAATATTAGTGAATAATATGTTTGTGCGTGCAATGTCTTTATTTCATCAATCCTTCACCCCCTCTCTCTCTATATCATTCTGTTCATGTATACCACTAAAAACTGATAATTACAGAATAAAAGAATTAAGTTTCTGTTTGCTTTGGGCAATAGGAGTACAGGTTTTTATTAATTTTGTGTATTTTTTTTTTCCTTTGATTCCATGCATAACAATATCTCTCTTTTTGTTTAAACTGAGGAATTTTAATCTGTCTGTAAATTTTAAGAAGATGAAGAAGAAAGGAGAGTGGGGAAGGGAAGTTGGGCTGCACTTTCGGTTCATACATGTTTCCTCTAATATGCCAGATTGTAACCCCAGACTGAGCAAACATCTGCCTACCAGAGAGCTGTATGGGCGAGTCGAGCTTGTCTTATTCAACAGATGCACCACGAAGAAGCAGCAGCAATGTTTAACAGTCATGCTACTACTACTTGTACTTCCACAGCAGCACAGCATGAGAAGGCACTATTCTGAGGTGTCAATATTGGGTCTCGGAAATCGCGGTGCGCCTTGTTGCGGACATGTTTATTTGACCAGTGTCAAGACGGGTGGCAAAGGAGGAGCTGCCTTTTGTGGCTCGTCGCGTGTTGAAATGATGTGGGGACACTTTTATATATTAAAATACACCTTGATGATACAACCTTTTAATATCAAGAGCTTCAAATTGCTTTGGACATAAGTTTTTGTTTTTTTTTTAAATTGGGAATTTTTAATTTTTATTGGACTGTTAATTCAAGGGCCCCGTCTTACAAAGAGTTGTGATTGATCCAAATCAATCGCAACTTTGCAGTTTCCTATCTCTTATGTTCATAGTTGCGATTGATATCAATTGCAAATAATTTGTGATTGATATCAACTCTTTGTACGACGGGGCCCAGCACACCAGAAATTAATGAGCAAGTTACAATTCCCCAAACTCACTAAATATGTGATTGTGAACAGAGATTTAAAACAAAAATGTATGTTCTGTGTTGGGGGAAAGTTAATCAGATGTGAGGTGGCATTATTGCAGCTAATTTCAGATTAGCAGCAATATTGACTGGCCATAAAGAGAAGAGATAGAGATAGAGAGAGGAGCAGGAGCAGAAATATCATAGACGATTGTCCAACACAAATATTACACTTGAACATTTCGTCAAACAAAGCTATAAACCATAAATGTCTTGGTGCAATTTTGTAAGCAGATGCGTGTCTATTTCATGTTGGCTTCATCTAAATAACTTCAAGACGATGTATGTTCTACACTAGTCTCACTTCCCTTTAAACTAAAGAGCTAAATAACCTGCACATACAAAAACATGGAATAAAAATGATAAAAGCCTTCTCCTGAATACACTGCACTCTCCTCGTTTACTGAGTCTTCAGATTAACATAATCATCATTACAACTGTTTCACAGCCTCCCTCACAAATGTCTTTCACTGAAAGAGTGGGTCTGACATCAACCAATGGTGCAGACAATGCAATGTGCGTTCTTTTTTGCCAACTGCGGCGTTGCTGTATTCCACAAGGTGCACGTACTTGCTACCAATGATGGTTGCCTTCACCGAGAAACGCCATCTTGAAGACTTCCCAAGAGCTCAAAACAAGCCATCAACGATGGATGACAACAGCTTGTCAGAATAATGTCTCTTGCAAGAAGTAATGCTAATGTTATAGAGATGGCATCCTCAAACGCTTCCTGCATAAATATTGCTCCGGATGGGCCGGGAGATCTGGCTCCCGTAGCTGGAGTGGAACATCACATCTTCCTGCGTACGAGGCATGTACGGTGAACACTCCACAGCCAACAGTTGCAGAAGGATGGAGAACAAAAACAGGTACCTGAATAGAACAAGAAGACAATTTAGTACAGCACCCTCAGAAGCCCTCGATGAATCCATAGGCTTCCAGGCTGCAGAGGATCAGGTAGAGGAACCACAGGCTGACAAAGCACATTGAAGATATGAGTTTTGAATTGTTGGGACCTCCCAACTCGCCGCCGATGCTGGGTATCTTCCGCCGCACCATAAGCGCGGAGATGGCAAGGACCGCAAACACACTGAACACCGTCACAGAGAAGCCAAGGTTTCCTGGCTCCACCGTAAAGGGCCGGTTATGTATGGCGTGGTAGATAGCGGCGATAGTCCATGCTACACCGATACCTAAGAAAACGTTTACTGCGTTGCTCCCAGTAACATTGCCCACGCTGGCATCTGCATACTTGTCACCAACAGCTGCTGTTTTGCTGGCAAATGTGTCTGAGTAAAAACAAAAAATGAACATCAAATCAGTTGGTGGTTGTTGATGATATGATTCTTGATTACAATGACCAAGTGCAGTCATTGCTTCCTTTTCAACCTTAAATAGGAATTTTTATATCTATCTTCTAACCAGAAAATTAACATCAATTTGATAACCCTTGTAACAATTCAAAATTTCAAATGCATGTTGAATAACTAAGCATGCTTATTTTGTGATGATACACTACAATGAGTACAATATTATAAACAAAAAACAATCATCTGTTGAGAGCAAGAATGGCATTACCACCATTGGCAGCTCCCTGTTTGTAAAAGAGACTAAGGTAGCTTTAATAGGGAAATGTAGTGGCACAGTAAAATTGGTCCCGAATGCAAAATGCACAATGGTGGAAAATCATGATCGCATGGCATAGAGACAGAACAGGTTTATCAAATAGCAAACTTTGATTCATTGATATCCCCAAGAATTGCATTTTGTGTTCTGGATGCTTATTTTTGTGCCAGAGCTAGCATTTCACAAGCTATTAACAGTTGAATGTAATAATCTTACCTGGAACACTGGTACCAAGGGCCACAAACGAGATAGCAGTGACACTATCCTTGAGGTTGATGGTGCAACCGAAGTGAGAGGCAAGGTCAGTGATGATGGCGGTCAGACCAGCGATGACCATGATGGCAGACGTGAAGCAAGCCCAGCCGCCCAGGTAGTCGGTCGGTGGGATGAACGCAAAGAGGATCTTCCAGAAGATGGTCAAGAAGTGCATGACGTAGTCCCCACACGAGGGCAGCTTCTCTTCCCCATCTGCGCCATCATCACCTGACAGGATCAAGAGGTGCATGAGAAGGGGGTAAAATAACCCATCAAATGAAGCATTACTGAATAATTTATCACTTTCTTTCATCAAATTGCCAATTTCTATGATATTGTCAGACACAACTGCTGCTCAGTGAATGGGAAAAAAAGTGAGATTGAGCATTCTTAGTTCAGAAAGTTAGAATCATAATATTTTTACTTTTTGGGAGGGTGCATTTCAAACCTTGTACATATATGTTTTGGAAAATATTATTGGCTTGAGCTCAGCAGCCATCACCTATAAAGGAAGGGGAGGGGGAAAGACAGGCAAAAAATATTTGAATTTCCCAAATTTAAATTACCAGCCACCTCAAATACAGGCAGAATTTTTGTAGTTTTATGTTATCTAGTACTCTTTACCATCACACCAAAGTTTAATATACCTAGTATATTATGTATTAAAATTAACATGAAGTTATTACAAAGTCTTCCCTTTTTTACAATAATATAACCTATGACTAATGCTTTTAATTAATATTTATTTGTTCATGAAAGTAATTAAAATGAAAAATTCAATAATTTTCCAAAAAACTCTAACCTTGTTACATTAGTAAAAAGAGAAGAGTGATTTATGAAGATTTAGAAAGAAATACTGTTCATTGCAAAAGTGAAGAAAGTGAAGAAAATATGCAAGTGTTAAGAGATGTTCAAAATCAGGTTGATAAGTTTTTAATCGAAAAATGTAAAGGAGCTTTCATCCGTTCCAGGGGAAAATTAGATAAAGGGGAAAAATCATCTCGTTAGTTCTTGCAGCTTGAAAAAAAAATGGTATAAAAAAGGAAATTGATTATATAGCAAAGTCAGGAAAGAAATTTGTTAAACAGGAAAAGATATTATTAGAAATTAATAATAATTACAAATATTTGTATAGTACAAAAGGTACAACCGAAAAAGAAGAATATATAGATAATTTTGTTCGTAATGTTCAGTTGACAACTTTAAAAGAAAATGGGGCACTAAGCTGTGAAAGTGACGTTACGGAAAAGGAATGTGCAGAAGCACTGTCTTCCATGCATTATAACAAAGCACCTGGAAGCGACGGCTTGAGTGTAGAGTTCTACAAATGTTTTTGGTCAGAGGTAAAATATTTAATAATAAATTGTTTGAATTACGGATACGGTAAACAGTGTTTGTCACCAAGTCAGAGGCAAGCTGTTTTAACATTGCTGTATAAAAAGGAAATAAAAGAATTTTAGATAATTGTAGACCTATTTCCCTCTTAATCGTAGATTATAAATTATGTGCACAAGTTTTATCAAAAACGATTACAAAATGTTATGGGTGGTATCATTTCAACGGATCAAACTGGCTTTATTAAAAAAAGGTTAGCAACAGAAAATGTCAGACTGACTCATGATGTTATTGATTATTGTTTAGATAAGAAGTTGCCTTGCATTATTATGTTTCTAGATTTCAAAAAAGCATACGAAAATGTTAACCACTCATTTTTAATACACGCTTTAAAGAAGTTTCCATTTAAGGAAGGTTTTATTAAATGGGTTTAAACTGTGTATAGTAATGCAAAGGGATAGGTGATGAATTACGAATGGAAGTCTTTCTCTATTGAGCAAGAGGTAAGACAAGGATGCCCATTGTCTTCTTTACTTTTCGTTATTATAGCTGAATGTCTAGCAAGTAAGATCCGACAAAACAAAGATATATAAGGAATTAATTTATTAGGTTCTGTATTGTCCAAATTAAAAGTGCCTCAATTTGCAGATGACACAACCATTTTTGTAAATAGTTCAAAATCATTGATTAAGGTTATGGAAGAGGTCAGAAATTTTGGAGCAGTGGCAGGTCCTCAAGTAAATTGGGATAAGACTTAAGTAATGAAGATCAATACAGATTATTCAAATGGAGAATGTGGGGAAAGTACTGAACAACAAATAAAATATTTGGGAATATATATCGGGAAAAATAAAAGGAAAATGAATGTTTAATTTGGGATGAAAAAATAGAAAAAATTCAAAATATCTTGAACAACTGGAAACAGAGAATATTAACGTTTTATGGTTAAGTGGTTGTTATTAAAGCCTTAATCGTTTCACAATTTGTTTATACGGCAACTGTAGTACCTGCTCCTAATTTTCTTATCAAATCATTGGATAAAAGTATATATGCTTTTCTTTGGAGTTCAAAAAGAGAAAGAGTGAAATGTCTGTATAAATTAACAGTTAGATGGTGGTCTTGATATGGTAGACATGGAATCGAAATAAATTCTTTGTATTTATCTTGGTTAAGCAAATTATTGGATGAACAAACTTGTAGATGGAAATCATTATTCAGATATTGGATTGACAGAATTGGAATTTTTCCAGATATCTTACAATATAATTTGAATAAGAAAGATACGAAAATGCTGTGCATACAAAATGGATTGTCAGAGTTTTTTTCAAAATCTTCTTGTTGCATGGTCAGAATTTAAATATCGAGGTTTAGTTGAGGTAACAGAAATAGAAGAGGAGATATGGAAAAACAGTCATATTAGATCTAAAAATTCTACATTATTGTTTTCGAAATGGTACGTAGTTGGAATTTGTAAAGTAAAGCACGCGATTACAAATGGTAGTAGGAAAGACTCAATTTTGTTAAATAGTTGGTATTCATCAATTATTATTGAGTATTGAGTTTGAGTACACAAAATTAAAGAAATATTTCCAATGCTATTGATTAAATAAATAATACATTCTAAAGAATGTTCAATTAAGTAGTAAACAAAAGTATTCAAATTAAATCAGAGTAGCTACAGGAGATTTTTTTGATATATCTAGTTTCAAGACAAAATATTACTATTTATCCCCCCTGAAACAAAAACTTCAAAAACCAAATGTTACACGTTACTGGGAATATTACTTGAACTTACCTGTTCCTTTTAATAGGCAGAAAGTATTTAAATTTCAACAAATAAGAAATAATAGGATAAAGCAAGTTAATTTTAAAATATTGCATAATATATTTCCATCAAAATATAATTTAAGCAGAAAGCTGAAATTATATGCCATGATGATACATCACACTAAATCAAGGTAACCTCCAGTGCAAAGCCATTTTCATTACTGAATAATTCATCATTTTCTTTCATCAAAATTGCCAATTTCTATGATAATGTCAGACAGAACTGCTGCTTAGTGAATGGGGAAAATGAGATTGAACATTGTGTCCAAGGTAACAAATCTGTGAATTTGATTGTGTTTTGATGATTGATTTAATTAGATACACCAGGGAAAGCTATTTATTCGTATTGTGGCTGGATCACGACAAATAACTTGCTCTAGATCTGATCTCCACTGATAATTGAACACAGGTTTAATGACTTTGTATTACCGGTAAATCATTAAACATCTGAAGGTATGATGGTGATGGAGGGGGTATTTTTAAAGTAATAATTACAATTTGGAGATTGAAATTTGACAGTTTCTATGTAAATATTTTCAACTACGCATAGTAATAGGACAAGTAAATACAAATATTTGTAGGAGGCGCGATGGCTCAGAGGTAGAACAGTGGTCTTGTAGCCAGGTGGTCCAGGGATCGAAACCAAGTCGATGCACTAGTGCCTTTTGGTAGGACATTAATCCTCATTACCAAGTCCCTCAGGAGAGGGGGGGGGGGGGGGGGGGGTGTCCAGCACATCGTATATTAGACTACAAAAACATGTGGCATGTAAATCGGGCCTCATTTTTAAGCTGTTACCAGTCATATTTAGGCATTATTATATTCATATTATATGAAGGCATTCGAAGAGCTATGCTTTTCAGGGAACATTTTTTCTCTGATGTTCTTCCACACTTGCATAGTAACAATGATATTGCTAACAAATTATTTTTCACCCCTACTCAGAACTCAACCTTCTCTTTAAACTATGTTTAAACAAATCAAAATAAATGTATGTGTATTCTTAATGCTTGTGTGACTTCAGTAATTGCAATTTTGCTGATTCCCAGACAGTATTAACCTCTCTCATATTGTTGTACATACCTGCGCTGACAGTGAGTGCCTCAGCAAACTGCTCTCTCCATGAAGATGTCCCAATCATTAATGAGACATTGGTTTTCTTGATGAGCTTGTCAACGGTATTCTGAAAGATATAAAAATGAGTCATTTCCAATTAATATTTCAGTCTAGCATTCTGTGTATATTTTTTAAAAGACATATAATTAGTAAATATTGTCTGTTCAGGGCCAGAATGCATTAACTCCAAGCTAAAGTACATAAGTGAATGCCTTTCTGTCTCGAATTTGATGTTGCCCTTTTTTCCACAAAAAAAAAAAAATCCTATTTTTGATCGATAAGTACTTTCTGTTTGTTAAACTGTGTTTGTCGACATTTTTAAGAATGATGCATGAGTACATTTGACAAACATTTGTTGAATATGCAAAAGTTTGTCATAAATGATTGTTCAATGAACCAACGAGCGGAATGTAAATGTATTTTTATCGACCATTGGTTGATTTTTTTTTTTTTTTTTTTAAATCATATTGTATTGAGGAAAAATTGTACTGCCGTATTTACTCTATATATATATATATACATGTATAGATAATGGAAATTAGTCTGTTTGGAGCCAGAAGGTTGTTAACTCTTATACTTTCAAGTGCAGACTTAATGCTCTTCTGGTTCTGAACAGATGAAATAATTGAGTTCTTGTGTTCACAATTGTTGTCTATTTCTGTAACATTTAGATTATTTTTGGAAAGCTCTGATTTGCTTTTTTTTTTCTGCAGAGATACTCCAAGCACAATACGTTGTCTGTTAATATAGAACCCAGGTTTTTTGGACATCCATTAACTGATTATGTCCTAAATAGGTCGACCGAGTAACAGAAACTCGGCACAAATCACGGCCATTGCACAATGCCTTATTTGGATGATAGAAAGAAGGGGGATACTTGATAGATAATGCAGCTTGTACTAGTACCAACAAGCAGCACTCCACACACTATTATCAAGATGAAGATAGTGGCGCCTGGGTAAGAATTATTTAGAAGCTTGAGACCTTTCAAAGGCCATCGACTCCTTCATTGCGCAGTAATGACTCCTCAATGACTCCTTAAAGGAGTCATTTTTAACAAATAATCCCTCTTTGATACTATCTTGAATCGATGACGGCAAGACGTTGTGGCCTTTAAATATTAAATGCTCTTTATTTTCTACTAAGTGCAGTTTATTTCATATTTGTGATAATTTTCTTTATTACATATGTAAAATATAATTTTTAGAGTATAACTTGACATTGAATGACTATAGTGAGGAGTAATTCAGGACAAAAAGCTGCTGTTATCTTAAATCAGTGACTGCATGACTGAGGTCATGATATTTTAAGCATATAAATGAGAAATGAACACTATTAAAACTTATCGTCCACAAAACAAAAAGTGCAATAGTTGGTGATGTTTATGATTTTAAAACACTCGTTTTGGTATATGTGAATGAAAATTTAGCTAATATTAAGCCTAATGGAGATAGTACATATTTTACCACCTCCATATTGTAATGATGTGGTTCTTTTTCTATTTGATAAAACTATGATATGCAACGATTACCGGTATGCATTTTGCGTTCCTGATGCGTCTTTCTGTAACCTACTTTAAGTAGTTCAGTACCAATATCTATGAATTTTAAGTAATCTTTGTGAACCTTGTGACTTCTCTTAAGTTTCTAATGTAAAATGAAATGTCAATTAAATGTCAAGTAACTTTTATAGATTGCTCAGTAATGGAATGAGTGGTAAACTTAGAAAAAGATTCCTAAAATGCAGCCATGATGACGTAAAAGCAGGCATAATGACGAATATTTCACTTTCTACATGCATTATTCTTAGCTACCAAGAATCCTTACAAGCTCTAACACCACAGAGAAGATTCATAAAATGCAGCCATGATGACGTAAAAGCAGGCATAATGACGAATGTTTCACTTTCTACATGCATTATTCTTAACTACCAAGAATCCTTACAAGCTCTAACACCCCAGAGAAGGGGGCTCTATTTTTATATATTCTCCAAGCACAGCAATGCATCCTCATTAGAATGATTTACTGATACAAAACCTGCCTCGAGTTACCACTCTATCTCCCATGCTGTCAGCGCTGTGTTCCCCGACTACGCAAAAATGATACATTTACCATCCATCTTTCACTAGGAGAGCCATAAATAACCTTTTCACAGCCCAATGGTGTGTTACTATTTGTGTGCAGTATATACTTACTCTACCCAATGGCTGCTAATGAATAATTGAGGATGACTGACTGCATTGACATCGTAAATTTGGTACTAAATATAGTGGTTATATCTATTTTTCATTTCTTCTTTAAATCAGGATGTTTTGACTAGAGAGGGTTTTTTATGATCAATCTGTTTTTTCCCACAATGTGCAATCTAAATATTTAAATGAACTGATGATCAACTTGATAAATAAGTAAATGAACTTTACTATCATTTTAACATGATACAAAAATTTACAAAATGCAAGCATCAGTATCCTTCAATTTTGTTCTTACAAAATAATTCACACATATAATTGAGTTACCGTTTACCTCCTCTCTCCCCTTTCATGACTTAGTACATATAGTAATATCAAAGTACATTCTCTATGGATCCTTTTTTGGGGGTCTCTATTATAGTTAATCTATCTATTTCTCAGCTTCACAAGGAGAAAAAAGACTGCTTGGGAAAGGATTATCTTGATTATTATCTTTGTTCCTAAAGCTTTCTATCAGCCCACAAAACCCTTTTAAAAAAGAAAACTGTTAGTGTATGAATTTGTCTTTTATTCACCACGCACTCTTTTCCCCACATACTATCACATTAAAACTTTCCATGTAAACATATATGCAATTTAACACCCCTTGCTTTCCTTGCTTCCCCACTCTCCCTTCATCCATCCTCCTTCCCCTGCTCTGTCTACACATACTCTGAAGCCACACTGAAGAGTTTGTCATTCTAATATAGCATGTAAACAAGTAGACTTCAACAGTTTGGCATTTCATCAATGTCATCTACCGGATAATGTTCTTAACACTCTTTCCATCCCAGTACACATGCACCCAGGGGCGGATCCATGATTTTTTAAGGGGGAAGGATCACATTTTCAAAAGATTGAGTTGAGTTGAGGATTTAATATCCAAATGTTCAAATAAAGTAATATAACAATAATAAATGTATGTTTAATAAATATCTCAAATGAAAAGCTTTTGAGGGTTTAAAAAAATCACTGTCAACCGACCCCCTGAAAAAATGTTATCACATTGTCCAGGCTCGCTTAGGGGGGTCTACATTTTGAAAGGAGGTACAGGTATATAATTATGGGGGCACATTTTTGCGAGTATGTAAGGTATACCACACTGGGGTCTTAAAAAGGGGCTTATGTCCCTCATGCCCTCCAGGATATGCCACTGACTGCACGATGCAAATCGGTTGAGTCATGCTGAACGAGCGTGATACAATTCATGTATAAACACACTTCATGTCACAAAAATCTCTGCAAATGTAGCTTGCATGTTTTCCATGCTCCATCTACATCTCTCTCTCACTCTCTCTCACTCACTTCCTCTCTTTCTGGCAGCACACACACAAAATCCTTTCCATCACATTAAATCCTACCTTTGATATTTGTACAAATGGACGGTGCGGGCATACGTGTGGTGAAACTTCCTTTCATACTCACCCTACTTAATTCCCCCGCATCTCTCACCGAACATGACTTAATATTGAAATGACTCACCGACTCTCATCCACCAGCTATCTTCTCCTACATTGTTATTTTCATCATGCCTGCCCGACCCTCTAATGCACCCTCACTCATCTTCACATGTTCTGTCTTTAATAACAATCCACCAAGAAAAAGATATTCAATTTCACTTTTCATTATCGATGATGGGTGCCATGACTGCGGGAATATTCAACCCTGATGGGTTCATTTGCGAATTCTCGAAGAGTGTTCCTTTGTATCGCTTGCGTGATTCTTCAGAGAAGGATTGCTAAGATACACAGTGCATTCTTTACAAGTAAAGGTTTTCATGGCATATTGGTTGACATTGATGCACATCAACATGATGAATTCTCCATCAGTTCAAATGGCATGACTATTTTAAATTCCTGACATTGTAATCTACTTGCTATTTTGTCAGTGTTATAATTTATAATCCTACCAAGATGGGATCTTGTCATACCCACTGATTAAGGAATCATAATTTTTAAGTGATTCATTGTTACAGAGTAGTTGTACATATGACAGTATAAAATCAAGCAAATGGTTTTATGATTTAAAAAAACAAAAACGAAGTGACGGTAGTGAGGAAAATCGTAACACAAAGTGAATGCAATTTTTTTTCACTACCGTCACTTCGTGAAAACAGCGACGAATTGTTGGATCATCATCTACTGTAGATATGAAAATATTGTAAATTTACAGATTTTACAGATTTTTTTTACCATCATCCAACTCATTCCAATCACAGACTAATTGATATTCTCAAATATGGGGTGATGTAATATCCAAAGTCTTTTGGAAGTGCATATATAGAGACTCGTTATCATATTTTGATATACAGGAACCGAATACTGTTATTGTTAATAACTGCGGGGCTTAATTTTCTAGATTATATACTTTCTAAAACACTAAATGGACAATTTTGTGAATGAACTTAAGACTTTGCATGCTATCTTCATGGATTTTTGATTTAAATTAATATTTTTGTTCCAAATACATGTTGAATCACTCCTTCCATGTGAATATATGTTTGCAAATCTATATGCATGTTATGTACTTGAACACACTCTCATGGCTCAAAACAGATCATATCATACAACCCCTTTGCACATCACATCAAACAGTTTACATGAATTATGTTTTGAAACTGAATTTGGACACAGAGCCTTGGGTAAATATGATTTATGACTTGACAGTTCTTCATGTACCTATTCATAACAGAGAACATCTGCACATAAATATATTATCTGTTCAGAGCAAGAAGGACATTAAATCTACGCAAAAGAATATGACCTAATGCCTTTCTTATCCCTGACGAGGAACTAACTGCAATTATGGCTCTTTACAGGCAGAACACATATATTTCAATG